ACATGACACCTTTAAAATCCCACCACACTGAGAGCATAACCTTCCTCTGATGAATGTCTGCTTTCGATGTCGTTTGAGGCGAATCATCACATCTGGACCAAGACTGTTTGCACACCACATTGTTGTCAACAATCCACTTCTCATCACCAGTTATCAGTCACTTCAAAAAAGGATCATTTTCCTCACGTTTAATGAGCATATTGCAGATGTTTATACGCACCATCATATGAACTTCTTTGAGTTCATGCAGAACCCAAATATCAAGCTTGCTTACGTATCCTAACTTCTTCACGTAGTCATGAATGCTTGAATGATGGGTGTTCAATGTTTCTGCAATCTCTCATGTCGTGTAACATGGGTTTGACTCGATCAATGCCTTTATTTTGTCGTCATCAACCTCTGTGGGTCTCCCTCACCAAGGAGCGTCATTGAGATCAAAATCACCAGCACAGAATTTCGTGAACCATCGTTGGCACTGACGTTCTTGTAGAGCATCATCGCTGTAAACTTTATGCAACTTTTCACAAGCTTGACGCGCATTCTTCCCTTTATGGAAGTAAAAAATATGGCACAAATGTACATCTTCAACTTGTAAAATCTCCAAAACTCAACCAAAGAGCTCAATTTTTTTTAGAATGAAGCTAGAACTGTCAGCTGTCAAATGACATAGCAATAACATAGATGCAAATGACTCTAGTACTTCCAAAAATGAACTAGTGCCATCTGTTGCAAACATGCGTCATGACTTTGCCAACAACCCAATATATTTAAGGCGGAAATATGTTTATGGCTCTAAATAGAAAATCAGACGAGATGGAAAAGGCCTTGCTGAGAGCACAAAAGTAAATTCACAAACTTTAAAAGCTGACAAGTTCAGAAAAATACTCATATATTCTCATGCCCAGGCTCACCAAAAATCACGCAGCCCCTGTGACTTCTGTTCCCATGTGTGGGCTAACTGTTCAGACATCTTTTAAATGCCTTGGAGTGGGCCCCACCCCCATCCCCAAAGACACCACGAAATCCATCCAGGGCATTCCTGACCAAGCACAGTGCAATGGTTATGGGTGACCACCTACATGGGGACAGATTCTGGGTAAGCAAGTTAAGTAAAGGAAGAGCTGCCTTGCTTTACAAGACAGTGCTCTTCCAGCCGGTCCTAATGGCAAGACCTGGGTCCTTCTGCCACCCCAAAGGCCAAACAGTGGTTTTAAACCCGGTCATAACACTCCAGGGTCCCATCTTAGCCTCGCTGGTCTTCATTTTCATCCTCAGAATTGGCACATGGTCTCCCCGTTGGGGAACACGCAGTTTTCCTCCCCTTCGGGAGCCCAAAGCCACCCTACAAATATATATATATGACAGTCTGGACTGCTGTCCAGTGCTGCCCCATCCAACCAGCAGATGCCCCTTTCCCTGAATGCATAAGAACCCACAGAACCCACCAGAAGCTCGGACCTGCTCTGGGGGTCAGGACCCAGAGCCCATGCCTGGCTCGGCCTGTCACCTCCGACAGCGTTCTCTTCAAGCATAGCCCTAGCCCATGCACCGGCTTCCCTACAACCAGGGCCTTGGGTGTCTCTGGCCCAAGAACAAGAACGCCAGCTCATCTTTGGTCTAGAACCCATCTCCTGCAAATGTCCCCTATCGCCGGCATGCTGTTGGACCCGGGGCTATAGTGACCTGTGCAAATCTTCTCCTACGGGTTCTCCGGGCAAGAGCACACCAAGAGCCCATCAGGGTCACAACACAGCTTCCCCACAGGGCGACAGCAACACGGGGCCATCCCTCATCCCTGATATGCTTACGAGGGCTATTTTTAACCAAAGTTAGAGTCTTGGGCTCAGCGTTCCACTATTCCACAATGGTGGACTTCTCGTTGTCTAGTAATGTTGCCTAAATTTGACACTGAAAGGTTCTGAATGGCATCTACTGTTGGTGATGGGTATCTCCTTTCGATATATGAGTGAATAGGGACCTGGGTAGGGATTACACAGATAAATGAATTCAGTGAGGACTGAATGGTTTATAGAAGCCCTAGGGCAAGGAGGAGGGGGTGGGGGGAGGGTGGGTGTGTGTTGCTGTGGGTAGAGGTGTACGGGCCAGGCAACGTACATGCCCAGCTGTGAGCCCCGTGGCTTCCTTGGCTGTTATAATGTGAGTTACACATACACAGCTTCCCGGGAAATAACTATGGTGACTACCTTGTCCCACTGGAAAGGCGGTGTCCCCTCTGACCAAACAATCCCATTTCACACACATCAGACACAGAACCGCATATTTCTTACCGAAAGCAAGTGGTTGGGTAATATATGGGAAAACCTCTTGGTGATGAATTCTTTCTGGAATAAAACAGAAAAGAGGAAATTACTTTGGTTTCAGAAAAGACACAGGTGCTCACACAGTACAGATAGTTGAAGGAGCGACAGGCACTGAATTAAACCTGTAAAAGCACTGATTAGAATTCTAATGAGATGATCAGAAATTACCAGAAACAAATAATTAAAATGTTCCTTTGGCCATTCATCACATAAGGATTGCTTTAAGAACATCCTGTCGGGCAAACAAAGCCTTGGCTTCCATATCCTTCTGGAAGGAGAGCCGGCCCACCCCCCACCCTGCAAGGGAAGCCCTCAGAGCCCTCATGAATATGCATTCCCCACAACAAAGCTTGACCCCCGCTAGTTTTGGGGGACACTTTCAGACTGAGGTGGGTGTGCCTGTGGGGGCAGGAGGGGGCGGAGGAGAGATTAAAGGGACAGGCAGGCAGGTCCCCTCTCACTTCTTCTGCCCAAGTTCACAGCCCACCCTTCCCTGAGGGGCAGGGCGGTTTTATAAACAGAACAGAAAAGAGGCTGTCAGTCTTCACACTTCTCTTGAATGGAGACAGCTTGGCAAA